CCCAGGTTGCTCCAGCCTGGATGATCCTAAAAGTCACAGAAACACACATTTTGGGGTTGGAAGGGACCTTAAAGACCATCCAGTTCCCATCCCAACACCTTCCACCATCCCACGTTGCTCCAGCCTGGATGGGGGAACTCTGGAACGTTCTTCCCCTGGAGGCAGAGAGTTCTTGGGGACAAAACCGAACATTTCGGAGCTGCGGGCGGTCGATCCAGCCTCGTGGACAATTCCAGGTGTTCCCCCGGCCGGGAATCTTTGCCCTGCCTCCCCTCAGCACCCCCTGATCCCGTTTTTCCCCCCGTTTTCTCCCGGCAGAGACCCCGCTGAGCCTGTCCCAGCTGTGCAGGGTGACGGTCCGGAAAGCCGCCGGGCAGAGGGCCCTGGAGAAGATCTCCAAGCTCGACATTCCCCCCCGGCTCATCCAGTACCTCTCCTACAACTGACGGGGAACGGCCGGGAAGGAGAATTCCCCGGAATTCCCGCGCCACCAAGGGTCTTCTCTTCCTCTTCTACCTCCCCCCCCCTCCAAGAAACTCAAGTTTTAATTTAAAGCAAAACTGGTGTAAATAGTATTTCTGAGGCCGCGCTTCCTTCCGCTCCGTGGGCAAATCCCGGGAATGCTCCTGGGGGGAGGGAGATTGGGGGTTTTTTAGGCTGGTGGAACGGGATTGATGTTCCCTCTTTTTCCCCGTGCTCCAGCCAAGGCTCCCTTTGGAGCCAGGGGGGAAGAAATGGATACCCCTGGAACGGGATTCATCCGTCCCCTTTTTAGATTCCCGTGGCCGGGATGACGGGGAATGATCCGGGACACCTGGAATGGCTCCAGGACACCTGGAATGGCTCCAGGACACCTGTCCCTGTTGGCTGCACTGGGATAGGGGAGGGAATGACCTTGGATTTGGGTGGTTCTCCAGAGGATCCACACCCAGGGGACAAAGCTCAGGACCCCCCGGAGGCAAATTAAGCCCCCAAATTAAGCTCGGGGCTAATTAGAGGCTCTTCCCGGCTTTTCCAGGGGGATCCACAGGCTTTGGCTCCGCACCAGGATTAAGGAAAAACCGCTGCCGGGTTCGGCTTCGGCTCCTTCCTCCTGTGCCGAGCGTCCCCCCCATTCCCAGGCTCAATTCCAAGCCCAGGGATTCTTCCCTGCTCCCAAAATATTCCCTCCGCTCCGTGTGCAATAAGTGGGACACATCCCAGGGGTGTATCCCTGCGGGATCTGCCTGGAATTCTGGGGGATTTTTAGGTTGATTTTTTTTTTCCCCCCCTCTCCAGAGTTTGGCAGCCCCGGATTCCCGGGCTGGAATTCCTGGAGCTTCGTCCTTAGGGAGCCAAAACCATCCAAAACTTCCAGAGGGACCGTTCCCTGTTGTCCTGGGTCGGAATTCCACGGGATCCTGGGATGGGATGGAGCTCCCTGAGGAGTCCCCCCCTGACAGATCTTAGCGCTGTGATGGGAACAAATCCCTCCAAAACGGGATGAACCCCCCCCCCCCTTGTCCGAGGTGGAATCCGGGGCTCCCGACACCATTCCCGCCGGGATCTCATCCCAACAAGTCGCTTCCAAGGGGTCTCCTCCTTGGGAAGGAGGATGCAGGTTGGGAGAGCCGGGATGAAGGACTTTATGGGGAGCAGAAAACCACTTTATTTTTCATTTTTAATTAGATTTTCCCCCTCCCCACATCCCTTTTTCTTTTTGTGCCGGATCGGGAAAAATTCCCAAGAAAAATTCCCAACATCCCGCTCTTCCAATCCCGGGTTTTTTTGGTGTTTCAAATCCCAGAAATGTGAAGCTCAGGGAAAGCCCTCCAGGTTGGTTGGTGTGGGATTCATGGATGGGAATTTTAGGGAATAGTTTGGCTCGGAAGGGGCTTCCCGAGGCCGTTCATTCCAACCCTTTTTGTTGGATCTTCCCAGGAAAAGCTTCTCCCGCCCAGCTGACGGATAAACACGGATTGGGAAAGCGCAGCCGGGGTGAAAAACTCTCCTTTTGGGTCAAAAATCTGATTATTAAGTTGCTTTTTTAACACTGACACAGCAATAAATCCCAAATTTCCGGCGGGAAAGCCAAAAAAATTCCTTGGACAACCGAGAATAAAATTCCAGGATCCTCTTCGTGTCGTCTTTGGGGGTTTTTTTCACCCTCTCTGTTGAGTCCTGAAGTTCAGTTGTTGGGTTTAAAGCTCTTTTAAACTAGGTTTTAAATTTCTTTGTGTTAAATCTCTTCATTTTAAATTGATTTTAAATCTCTTTATTTTAAATTGATTTTAAATCTATGTATTTTAAAATGCTTTATTTTAAATCTCTTTATTTTAAATTCCTTCATTTTAAATCTCTTCATTTTAAATATTTTCATTTTAAATTGATTTTAAAACACTCGGTGTTAAATTTTTTTATTTTAAATTCCTTCATTTTAAATCTCTTTATTTTAAATTG